TTTGGTACAATGTGACGTCACCCCATGCGTGGTTTCCAGAGGCCTTCATTAAACATTCCGAGGTCTTTTCCTACATGTGCCCCAATACGACAAAGCACAATTTTGTTAAAATTTTATCTACAGCTAATATTTTCCTTAACTATTTTTTTTAATACAATTTTACCCTATTTTCTTATTTGTCTTTTTATGAAAACTTTTATATGAAAAATTTTAATTTCAAATTTATTAAAATCTATATCAAGTATTGTTTATGTTAATTTTCTTTTATTTTATCACCTGCAAAAAAAATTCCATAAACAAAAAGAAAAATATATAAAAATAATAATTCTTAGTATTCAAGTTTTCAATAATAATATATCTTTTTTAACTTTTTAAATGTTAATTTGTTATTTTTTTTCTAAGATTATAAAATATTACATCGCTTCGTAATTATTTATGTTTTTAGTAATGTGTTAGAAATATAAATTTCACTCAATGAGTTGGTGAATATTTCATACCTTTTAAAATAAGGCTCATTTTCATTCATTATATCAAATCAACAGATTGAAAAAGCTTCAATTTTCAAAGGTTTTTCATAAAGTAAATTTTTTATTGTAGTCAAAAGTAATTTTAGTCCATTAAAACTTCAATTAATTTACTATAAGTTTCTTAAATGTTTAAAATATTCTAAATTGTAAATTGATTCCTAAAAGTTTTAATTGACTTTTAATAATTTTTATTGTTTGTATTTAATTGTAAGGTTTGAGGTTTAATTTCATGTTATTTAAGTTATCTTAACTTGTGTAGGTTAGTCATATTCAATCTAGTTTAACTTAGTTTGATTCTATCCAAATTAACTTTTTATCAATTATGATCACACCATTAACTTATATGATTCAGTTGAATCCAACTTAATCCAACTTATCTACATAGGTTTAAGTTCTGACCAACTTAACATGGTTTATGTTGGCTGAATCAAACTATTTGAGTTGACTTAACATAGTCCCATCTAGACTTGGGCAGACCTAACTCAATTCAAAATGTCTTAGGCCCAACTTAGTCATATTTTTGTTTTAACCCAACCCAACCTACTTCAACCTAACACGATCTAACATGACTTTTGTTTGTTTGACCTAACCTTGCATGACTTGGACTCAATGCAACCTAACCATTTTTTATTGAGCGCAACTTTGCCTAACTTTGGTCCTAGTGGACTTAACTTGATTGGGCCAACTCCATCAATCTTAGCTCGTTTAACTTAGCTTGACTCGGGTCAAACCTACCTTGTCTTAACATGAGTCTATATATGACTTGGGACTATCTCAACCCAAACCCAAACTCACATGACAAGATTTAAACTGGGGCTCCTTAGCTTTACTCAACTTAATCCAATTTGCACAATCAAACTTGGTCTAACCTAGGCCCCAACTTTAACTTGATTATACCCTTTTGACATGGACTTGAACTGACACTGAACTTGGTCCAACCTGGCCTAGTATGATCTTTTGAGATGGTCCATACTCAACCTAACTTGATCACTCGTATTAATTAGGTATAACTTACTTAACATGAGTTTGACTTAACTTAACCCATATTGGATCCAATTCAAATTGATCAAACATGAGTCAAGCTTGTCTCAACTTCACCTCAATCAACATGACTTAGCCAATTCTAACTTAGATCGACTTGAATTCCAGTCTACTTGACTAATTTAAACTCGACTCAGTTTTATATAAACTTAGGTCTAGCTATCTTGACATGACATAATTAGTCCTATCTCTATCTTGACCTAAGTCTAAATCGATTACTAATTGGATCAAATTTTGGATTGAAAAAATACTTTTTATTTGTAAATAAAGATTTATTTAATATTTTTTTCATTTTTATTTTATGAAAGTTTTTTTACTTTAAAAATGAATATGTTATGAATTAATTTTCATTTTTTTTTTGTTGTTATTTTTTGCCACATAATTATTTTAATGTAGAATTTGCATTAATCGTGAACTTTGGTTTGTGCCTATAATCTACCTAGATTATCAGATGCCCTCTCTACTGACGCAAATTGAAACCTCGGATCAGTAAGTCATGTTAGATTTTTAATTAACTCAAGTCTAGTAGTGTACGAAGATGAAGTTCTTTTAAAACTCTTTTTTAGTATGTGTCTATAGTCGTTAATATTTGCTTTTTTTAGGCATTCCTAATTACTACGAACTAGTCACATATTGCACACTTAGGTATATTTTCTTAAAACACGTGCTTATATGTAAATTGGTTTAGATACTTGGAAAAGAAATATAACTAAACGGTTTTATACAAATTACAAACTATTTTCTTAAATCACCCAAAAGAATTATTTAAATAAGTTGAAAATAGTTTATGAATATAAACAATAAAAACGCTGTCTTTTATGTGAAAATATTTTTTCTGTTATTTACAGTTGTTTTTACCAATCTGATGAAAAGTTCATGATTTGCTGTTTTTATCTTAGCATTGTTCTGATAGTATGTTCTACTATATGATTTGACAACCATTTTGCTCTCACTCACTCGTATATTGACTGTATTATATGCATCAACACGTCCAAGGCTGTAATGAAGTTTTCACAGAAACATAACGACATGTTTTCAAAAACTTATATATATTTGTTTATCATCATCATCATCATATATATATATATATATATATATATATATATATATATAGAATATAATATTATATATATAATAATATAATATATATATATATTACAGGATTATAATCAATTTTTATTCAAACAAACAAATGAGTTTTTTTCTCTCGAAACAATAGGTTATATGCATGATCTTATGAAATAGAATAACGACATACTTCATATATACTATATATTTTTATGTATAAATGATTTACATCTCATGACGTACGTATTTTCTAGTGGGTATGTAATACATTATTTTAGTCTGAATAAGAGATTAAAATTCTTCTTTAGAGCATCGACAAGTGACATTGACGTTCTAAGAAAGAATATACATGGCTGCAAAAACCCTAATATTTTTGATAATTTTGATGCTATATAGTGGGGTGGAGCACTTTGGTGGGTGGGTTTTGAGTTTTATTGCTAAGTTAGCAAGTAATTTGGGTAAACAGCATGGGTGGGTTTTGGATCCACGCGTGTTTGGATCTGCCAATACCATATGCCAAGTTGGGATAAGAGCTTTTTCCTTTTACTTTCAGAAAAGAAAGATACTTCTTCTTTTATTAATTTTTTTACTTTTGGATAAATTACATTATAATGAGAGGCCATCATAAAATTTGAGTAAGATGGTAACTGTTTGACAAATTGGCTCCATTGAAATAAAATATGCATTAGAGTCATCATATAAGCTGCAAAAGGATAAGTATTGAATGTGATGTGCATCTGAATTTGATGTCATGGGAGAACAATGTTTGAACCTTATGCTTCAATTATAATATAATTAGAAAATGATGTAAGATTTGGTAGTTGCGTGATTTCTATCTCCCAATGCTATTATTTCTTTGGATAACTATCAAAATATCAAATCTTACACTTTACAACCCCACACTTCTCAACTTTCCTGTGCCAACTATTTTAGCTTCTTTTATTTTTCATCAATATTTAAATTTTTATTTTAAACACGTACGACTGTTAAATTTTCACAAACCATAAATTATAGACAGGCTTATGTATTTGAATATTTTTAGGTTAGCTATACATTTCACAAACCATAAATAAATAATGTCATCTTTTAGGCCTTGTTCCCTTGAGTGGATTTGAGGGAGAGTAATTGAGGGGATTTGAAAATAAATTTTTTTGTTGTTTATTTGAGTCAATTTGGAGGTAAGTGAGAATGAATTTGGAAGTAAAGATTGTGAGAATTCGTGTAGGATTTGATTGACGTGACAGATTAAAAAAATTTACTTCCAAATCCAATCTCATTTACCTCCAAATTCATTCAAATAATCAACAAAAAAAATTATTTTCAAATCCTCTCAAATCCCCTCAATTACTCTCCCTCAAATCCACTCAAGTGAACAAGGCCTTAGTTAATTATGTTTATGTCAATTGGAATTTTTATAAAGAGCAAAACAAAATATATTAATTAAGTGGGATAAGTTAACAAAACTTTTATATATACATACATATATATATATATATATATATATATATATATATATATATATATTATTGCTCTATATTTAAGCCTTTTATCATATTTAATCATACATCTTATCTATCATAATTCATACATATTTCAAAAAAATATTTTTCGATATCATTAAAAAAGACAGAAAAATATTATGCATATGTCTATTCTTGGTTTACCAATTTATTTTTTTCTGTTATATTGTTATATTCTAAATTTGAGTATAAAAAGAATTAAGACATCAACTCACCCATTTATTACACAGATTCAGCCATTTATTACATACATTCTATATAGTACATAATCTATTACTCATATTTACCGCCTTATTCCCCAAATTTTTCTTTGTTGTAACTTTTGTTCAAAATCACTTTCCAATCAAACATCTGTTCTCCAAATTTTTCTTTATTGTAACTTTTGTTCAAAATCACTTTCCAGGCATTCAAACATCTGTCTCCTCCGTTCCAAATCCCACATTTAATTATTATTATGCTAATTGTCCATCTCTTCAATGGTTGATTGTTTCTTTGTTAAATTTGCATATAGTATTGGATACATAAAAAAGATTAACCACTACTTGATTGTTGTATTGTACTTCTTAAATTTGTCTTGCATACTCCAAACATATGGATATTTGTAGTTATTTTTTTAGTGAACCTTATTTCTACTCACTTTCTCTTCATGTAATTAGCTAGGATTTTTTTTTCTTTATGTCGTGTCAAATTGCGTGTTTTTTTTTTCACATAAAAGGTTATTTTTAATCTTTTTAGGATTTTTTTTTCTTAGTTATCTCTTTCTTATTTAAATTTAGTTTACGTTTATATAAAAATATAAATGAAAGACAGAAAGAAGAGGGATAAGTAAACATTGAATAAAAGAAACAAGTTGGAATCACTCTCCTGCACACCAAAGGAGACAAAAAATGAAAAACGACACCGCCAACACGTACGAACGCATGCATTGGCACTACAAGTAGAAAGTGAGGAATGCACTTAATCACTTGATTTTAGAGACGATTCTGAAGGCCAACTTGCTGAGGGTGGAAATTTGACTATTAAGAGCAGTAATGGCAGGGTTGTTAATATTTTCTGAAGCCAAGCCTCTGTCACAACCAGCAGGTCCATCACCAGCAACTTTGGCATCATAGCTAGCAGTCTGAGGATCATCTTTATACTCTTCCAAGGCGCTCTTGAAGGATGCAACAACCCCATCGTAGTCGAAGTTCGCACATTGCACTATGGCTTTCTTGTTGTCTACCTGAGCCAACCCCTTCAGGAAGGCCTGAGCGTCTTTTGCCTTCGCCACCGCCCATTCTAGGATTGCCTCAGCCAGTTCGTCCACATTTTCTGCGTTCACAATCTTAGGATCAGCTTGCTTTAGCAGCATCAAGCAAGCATCCTTGTACTCCAAGCTTTCCATGCACATTTTTTCAGCCAACCCTTTTTCACCATTTGCTGCCATGGGAGAATAGCAAACCATCACCAGACACACGGCCAAAACAAAGGAACATAGTGCTGAGGAATTCATCTTTGCGATAGAGTTTTTTTTTTTTTTTTTTTTTTTTTTTTTTTTTT